GTATGAACACATGGGGCTAATAGCGTATTTAGAATATTTAATTATTTTGTCTCTTTTATATTCGAGATATTTAATTATATATATTTTTTATTTGGCTTAATTTTTTTGGAGTTAATGTAATGTATTTATTTTACGAAAAAAATGAGCCAACTTATAACTTCATTAACTTTGAGCGTAGAAACATTTTTTTTTACCAACTATTTGGTTTATTACTTTTAATCCATACAACCTAACTACTAATAACTTCCCAGTAATGCAGCCTCATCAATAATGTAAGAAAAATATTCAAACTACTTAAAAATAAACATATTTATAATTATTATTAAAGCAAAAGGTGAATTAAATCTTTGAGAGAAGCCATGAAAAATTCCATTAAGTTGATTCTGCAGTCTTGACTATTGTTAGAGCAAATCCAAAATCATACCTTTATACTATATTAACAAAAAATTTCTAACACACACAGAGGCACTAGGAAGCAATGTAGTAAAGTTTCTTACAAAAAAATAAGTAAAAATAAAAGAAAACTTATGGAATTCTTTAACTATTTTTCCTTATGGTGAAATAAAAAATATGTATGTCCCCAAACTAAATTAAAATAGCTAACATCACTCTAAAGCAATTACGATAATCTGACAAACTAATGAAACTATATTTACTACAACTTATTTTAATTAGAAAACAAAAACTTCAAGAATGCTTTATATTTTACAGAAGCTAAACATTGTGACTATGAAATCTTCATATTCAAAAGTAACGTAGATATTTTCATATTTAAAAATAATGCTAAGACAGTAGCTTGTATCTCAACAAACAAATCCAGAGTAGAACTAAAATCTTCCACAGATTATTTGCACATAAAATAACTAAGCAAGAGATGAATAAAAACCATTGCAGTGAAGCTTTTTAAATATATTTTGAGAAAAATCCGACAATTACAACAGATGAGCGAAAATTGTGACCGCGAACTGGATCCCCAAACTCGAACTCAACCTTCGTCTCTCCTAAAGTTCTTTTAAAACACTCTAAAATCTCTTCTTCTCTAATTATTTTTTACTTTCCTTTTAATTTTGTTTTCTTCCTCTCCCTTTTTGTGTAAGTGAGTCCTCAATTATGTAGTGCTCAGAAACTAGTACTTTGTGAAGTGGGGGGAGATCATGTAATTGTGAGAGAATAGAGATAGGGGATCGTGTCTCTGTGTGTGAGTGAGGGAATTGGGGACATGGGGGTTGTGACGTGAGGAGTTAGGAAAAGGTGGGGATTGTGGATGTTTTCCTTTTTAGGTAAGGATCAGAGATTTGATAAAGTTTGATAACAAACTTTTCAATTTAGACGCAAGTTTACTTCATTTTTTAAAAAAAATTTAAAAGATAAATTAAATTATGAAAATAAGAATATTGATCAACCACTTTTACACCAAGAAAAAATATAAGAAAACTAACTATTTACATATACTTTAAATGATACTAATAAAAATGTCATAACTTACTTATTACAGTTCTAATTAAAAGAAAACATATATTTTTTTGTAAATTTTTATTTTCTATTTTTATTTTTATTTTTATAAAACCTATTAAGAGTAAGATAAAAGTTAAAAATATCAAGATTAGACCTAAAAGAAATATTTACACTAAAATAGTATAAAATTCGGGTGTGGTCAAAAATTAGTTGTTCACACAAGTTACCGCCGGGTACTCTATCAAATTCTGTTTTAGCTGTTGTGAAGCTAAGGAACTTTGGGGGTTGAGTCCTTGAGTGAACGCTTGAACAACCCCATCACCCGTAACCGGAGGCAGGTCTATTTGTTCCATTTGAAACCTCGACACGAATTCCTTGAGCATTTCGTTATCTATTTGTTTCACTTTAAAGAGGTCCGATTTTCTTATCTCGACCTTGATGGCCCCGGTATGAGATTTTACGAAGGCATCCGCAAGCATAGAAAACGAATCAATGGAACTAGGGGGTAGGTTGTGATACCATATCATCGCTCATTTCAACGGGGTTTCTCCGAACTTTTTCAGCAGAACCGACACAATTTCATCATATTCCAAGTCATTTCCCTTGAAGGCACATATGTAAGAGGTAACGTGTTCATTTGGATCTGTGGTTCCGTTATACTTTGGAATTTCTGGAATACATAACTTCTTCGGGATCGGTTTCGGTGCTGCGCTCAGAGAGAAAGGCTTTTGGATAAATTTCTTGGAATCCATGCCTTTCAATATCGGGGGTATTCCTGGGATTTGATCAACCCTGGAGTTATAGGTCTCCATTTTTTTGTCGTTGGCTTTGATCTTCTTTTCCCCCGATTCCACCCGCGTTGTCAGTTCCTCAAACATCTTTATTATTTCGGGGTTGGTCCCACGTTCAACTTCTCCCGGCTTTTCTATGGTTGGTTCATTTCTTCGGGTATTTTTCCGGGATAGTTCGGGCTCAACTCTGTTGGGGCCACGACTTTGGTTTTGTAGTTGAGCTATCACTACTTGTTGAGCTTGTAACATTTTGAAGGTCACCCGCAAATTGATCCCATCGTCTTCACCATCGTGCGTATCCCGAGTTATTGATCGGGCTCTTCCACGAACGATGTTCTCGGGGTCGGTAGGCAAGTTTGCGTCGATATCCACATGTGAGTTGGCATCGATTGGGTCTGCGACCAGAAATTCGTTGGGGTCAACAGGGGGCACCTCATTGCTCGGCACTATATTGTTGTTCTCGCCATGGTGCCGGACTCAGCATCAACGTTCAAGTGGGCAGATTAAGAGTTTTACCCTCTTAAATTGACCTGAAATTAAAATCTCAAAGAACAAGCATAAAACAGGGTGCGTTGTGAAAATTTATATCAAATTACCACTATTATCCTTAGCCCCTACTGTGGGCGCCAAACTATTTACCCTTAAAAATGGATAATAATAGAATTTATATGCGGTTTTAAGGATATGTGGATTAATTCAATACAAGTGATCAATGACGTTAGATTAAGCAAATAAAAGACGTGATAAATGGCCAAACCAATGATAAGAGTGATCCCGAGCTCGGTTAATGGCTTAACGAGGAACATGCCTTCGGTTCCGAGCTTTCACGTATGAAGAACTTATGAACAAAAATAAGAACGTTGAATAACTTTTAGAAACAGAAAGAGTAGAAGTAAATTGCCTTGGTATGCTTGCCACAATGTGTCCATGAATAATAAGCTTCCCCTTTATATAGCGGGGGAGTTTTACCCTAAGGACAATCCTAAGAAAGATAAAAAATTTCCGTTTCGCTAATCACTGATTTTCTGCCGATATGAGCCGAGATTCACGCTGCGATATGCGGTTGGGCACGGACATCACGACCCTTTGTTAGTCATGTACAGTTGTTTGGTAATGCTCTCCGAAGTCTTAGGGATCGAACCGGAGCCGGAGGACATGGTCCCAATGCTCCCGAGGGTAGGTGTTTTGCTCGAGCCTCGATACGAGGGGCTTCTCTCTCTGACTCCGATTCCTTACGGTCATGTCCCTGCTCCGTTTTCCTCACCGAAAAACGGGTGCTCAGTAGGCTCGATTTAACCCGTGTACGACATGTACTTATTGCTTGATTTACATTACAACTATTAGAAGTTGTATAACTCTTTGATATTAAATTATACTTCTATCATTTCCCCAATAAAAAAACTATATGATTATACCTACAAAATTCAAGATGAAAAGATATGGCTAGACAAAATAAATAATTGAAGAGCATTAATAAAAATCCTAACCTTGAGTGACCATTTAAATACAAATATTAGTCAATTTGTCATTTTTAACATAATATAAATTGTGGAGCGTCTTACATAATCACTAAATATGATATTTTATTGGATATCATTATGTTGATATTTACTTAAGCTTCTTACTTGATTATATAAAAATAAGAAAAATTATCAGCTATGTCCATTTATAAGTAGCTTATTACAATGTTAATTCATTAAATATTACCAATATTAGCCAAATAGTACAAATATTAGCCAATTAGCTATTTATAGCAAAAAAAGATTAAATTTTTGCTTTCTTTTGAGTGAGCGTTATTAGAATAGATTAGGTACATCTGAAGGAGTTTGAATCTCAGTTTTCGGATGATTTGACGGAGTTTTGAGGTGGTTTGAATTGAAAATTCGAATTAGAAGATGAAACATGAAAAAATGATATGTGTATCACATATGTATCATATTTGTATTAAATGTGTATAACATGTATATCCAATGTATACCTCTGTGTGTGATACATATGTGATACATGTGTCATAAAAGAATTTTTTGAACTTGATTTTAACTACGAATTTTAATACCAAATCAGTCAAAATCACCTCTAATCTTCCTCAAAATTTGTATATTAACTCGTCTATACGTTTCAACCATACCCATTGAAAAAGATTTTTTTTTTGCTTAGATTTTTGGAATCTTTATATATATATATATATATATATATATATATATATAATATTTTTTTTGTATTTCATCACCTTGTTTGCTACATCATCCATAAAATTTTCTTTCCGTCTTACATCTAGTGTTGTTGATCACGCTTAAAAATATAAAAGGAGATCTTTGCATGTGATTCTTGAAGAGAAATAAGCTTATTTATTTAGGTTTCTAATTTTTATATGTTCTAGGCTAGTTTTGATAAGTTTATGATTAATGGTTAGAGGTTGGTAAGTTGAAACTTATTTGAGCATTTATGTATGATTCCCTTTTAATTATTTATTTTTAATAATTGATTAATGATAAATTGACTTTATAATTCCCTATAAAAAAAAGTTTCCTAATTGAAAAAGAATCTCATTGAACAGACAGCAAAGCACCGATCAACTTTAGTTCTCACTCAACGGTCAAATATAAGCACAAAGAATTAAAACGACGTCGTAACTTTGGCAAACTCCTTAAATCGGTAAATCAGTCGTCTCACGGTCTCAGGGGTAATTTCGACATTAAGTAAACTCTCCTGCTGCAGAAGATGTCCATATTATAGTTAGTATAATATAATCTCTCTTTAGCTTTTAATCTTTTTATTTTCACGCAATTATTATAAATCTTCAAACACAATCATAGATCTTGATTTTTCATACGTAAAACCCTAAAATTTTCCCCATTTGATCGGTTCTTCCAATTGATTTCGACAAGGTAAATTGTTCATTTCACTTGCATCAAATTCTGCATTTATCTCTTCAATCATTGACCTCTATTGACTTATTCCCGCTCTTAAATCATCACCTTATTAAATTCACAAATTAATTTCACTAGTAATCTTTTTTTAATTATTGTACGTAGTTGTTATCAAATAGCTAAACTGATGTATAGATGTTGAAAGTATTATTGTTATTGTTGTACCGTTAATCATGAATACTTGACGCTATTGAGTAAAACGTTCATTGATAAGTTGGTCAAAGTTCTGTATATTAAGCTATTGAGTATAAACTCGACTTTGTAATCTAGTAAAATTTAATCATGGTTTTGTTTTATTTGATTTTTACCTGAAAAGCTTTCTAAGCTGTTAATTTGTATGGGAAAAACAGGTACAAGTATTGAGGTTTGATGAAGTGATGGTGAGCTGGAATAGTCTTTCTTGCATTGATTGTTGGCTTTTCAAGTCTTGATCGTGTTTTTTTCGATACTTTGGGGGAAGCATGAACATTGTAAAGGGTGTCGCGGGCCTTATCCGAAGGAGTTCGGGTAGCCATGGTGGAGAATCGAGTTCTGGTTCACCACTCGAGAGGTTCTCCCCACCTACTCCACTCATCCACTTCAGGTAACCCTAGTCTGTGGTAGCTATCATCTGTTAGTGTTTTTTGTTTTGTTTTGGCATTTAAAGTAAAACAATTACTCTAGGTGCAACTTCTTCCTACAAAATGTTTGAATTAAAAATAAAATCAAATCTTGAGGCCTTCCTGTTAGAAATTCGGGAGAGAAGGAATACTCTCAATAAATCATGTCTTTTGAAGACATATGCAGAAAAGCATACCTCTTCCTTCTTCCAATTTGGCTTACACAAATAGATAAGTATTTTGTAGGAATTCTTCTAGTATGTACCTAGTCCAGGGGCAAAGCTACAGTGTAGTTGACCACCCTTCGTCGGAAAATGTCAGAAAATTAACACTGTGTATATAGGTAAAATTTTGGATTTACATGCATGTACTACATATTGAACACCCTTGCAACAATGAAGATTCATAGCTCAGTGGCAAAGGGTGGTCAAAAGGGCCTCCTGGGCGCGGGCTCGAGCTTCACTCTCCACAATTTTTATTTTTCTTGTACAAGTTTGAACACCCTTGAAATATTTTCTAGCTTCGCCACTGACCTAGTCTAGTACATGTATCATGATTTAGTTCTAAACGTTCACTTTTTTGTAGTAGATGAATTAAACCATACATGTATTCTTAAATTAATTTCCTTAAGACACATGCTAAGTAAATTCATGTACTTAGATGAACTAATTTATCTTTTCACTGTAAACAAGAATTCCACTGTACTTTTAGTTGGAAACACGCTCAATTGTAAAGATGACACACTCGTTGTGCCAGGTCAAACTCATGTGTCTAAGAGGCACACCCGTGTCAAGTAGAGATCTCTATATGATCACTTGTAAAAGTGAAGTGCTTGTCCGAGAGTTGATGTCAAGTTTGAGCGACTATCTATGTATTTTGCCAATACATAAAATGGTGCATTCTATTCGACTCTCAATATCCAAAACCAAGCTAATAGAACTGGACAAGTTTTTGAAGCCGAATACCATAAGTTGATTCTAGATTTGGTTATGATAAAGTTTATGAAACCAAATAGTACCCCATAACAGCTTGTTTCAAAATATCATATGAAAGTACAAAGAGTTTTTAACCAATATCATCCTTAATGTTTCACCTAGACTTTAAGAACATCCTTATAATATCTCACTTAACAAGGGACATCCCTTAAGTCTGTCAAAGTTGACCAAAAAGTCCCTCTGTTAAGTTTTCCGCTAGATACTAATGTTTTTTGGGTTTCTCATGTGACTTGGTTCCTTTTTGTCTTTCATCAAAGAACGAACCAAGAACCAACGTTTCAACCTTCTTCACCAAATAAAGCTAACAACTTATACACCAAAAACCTATGGCTTCTCTTTTCTTGCTCATTTATGTCTTTCTGAAGCTTAGTTTTTTAACTTCATAAACTCGACTTGGTTGCTGAAACTGTTACTATTTCTTCAAAATTTGTTTGGTCATCCTCTCATATGTACCATCCTATTAGCCAATGAGTAGCCTAGGATTGTCGTTGGTTTCTTGGGTTATAATACTTACCTCATATAGTGGATTTCAGCGTCTTCTTCGATCCCAAGGGCGCTTAGAACAGTGTTGTCAAGGGCGAAAAGCTCTAAAAAGCGCTCTAGGTCTATTTGGGCTTTAAGCGCAAAGCGTACTTAAAGTGTGGGCTTTAGTTAAAAAAGGCGCAATGAAGGAAATAAATAAAAATTATATGTAATTCAAGAACAAAGTAACAAATTCATTCATAATGTTTCCCTTAGCAGCTAATACACTTATTTCTGATTATAGTTGTTGTTTAGTGCCGCTTAATTCAAGAGAGAACTCATGGTCAATGGGGCGCACGCCTTAGTGCCTTGCCTTATATTGAAGCGCAACTAAAGCGAGGCGAAGCGCCCTCCTTGAGTTTTTCTGAGCTTCAGGGCTTAAGCGCGCCTGAAATGAGCCTTTGACAATATTGGCTTAGAAGGGTTGCTTCTTTGCGTTGTTAGACACCAGGAAAATGATATTGACAGCTGAAAATTTTATGAAGAGGAGGATCATTTAGGTAAGCAGGTGCTATTGTAGATGCTTGAGAGAAGATGTGAGATTGCCTCTCGTCGCACTATCAAATAGCCTCTTCCTCCTGAAGTACGGAAAAAGGAAGAAAAAGCAGCCAACCACAGGGAAGGAAGGAGGTATAGTGCATCTGTGGTGGGTGGCTTTGAATTTTCGAAGTGTCGAACACAATAAAGGAGATTCTGTTTAGTTGGGGTTTCAGAAGAAGGAAGAGAAGACCCTCGACATTGAAGTTGGTCCCTGGCTCTTATGTGGATTATATGGAAGGAGAGAAATAGAGAGTGTCTGAGAGCTTGTGTGAATGACTTTGTACAATCGAGGAATATCCTGTTGTCCATAGTTTCGTTTTTGGTTCAGCCATGATGTCCCTCTTTGTTTAGGTGATTCAGTGACTTCTGTAGAGATCAAGGTTCTCTACTTATTGGTATACTTCTACTATACGGGGATTCCCACAGCATCAATTACATTATTTACCTTATTAAAGGATATTTACCTCACCTGACATCTTTTTATCGTGAACTTCTTCAGTTCTACTTCTTCCTCACATGACCTTTGGATTAACATGACCTAGGTCTTGTAATTGTGTGGACTTATGACAGACTTGGTGTATGCGTCTTGATAACACATGTAAGCTGCTTAAATGATGCCAAAAAGCTGGCACCGTGATACCATGATAAAGAATCTGCACTTTGACCACCAAAGACAACCGTACTGATGGGTGATGATGGCTGGAGTAGCTCAGGGTCTATTTTGAATAGCTCATATTTCTTAAAGCTTGACATAAGTTTATTCTTAACATTAGTCACTACTAGAGACAATTGATTTTTGACATGTAAATATTGACATAAGTTTATTCTTAACATTAGTCACTACTAGAGACAACTGACTTTTGACATGTAAAACCTGTAACATGACATAAGCATGACCTATTGCCATCATAACCCTTTTATTCTCTTTCTTATGAATTTCAAGCCTATGAATATGTAAGTAGATATTAAATGATTCTCTTGTTAGCTTATATTTTCTAGGCCATGGTCAGATATGCCATTTTTTTGCTTTTCAGTGAGGTCGGGGATGAGGCAATTCTGAATACTCTCTGGTCAAGATACGAGAATGCCCCTGATAAGGTATGTTGTAATGATCCCAAAAATTCTCTGTGGATGCCATTTTCTTTCATGTGTTCCTAAGGCAGTTTCTTTCATTTTCTTTCACGGGTTCGAACCGTGGAAAAAGCCTCTTGCAGAAATGCAGGGTAAGGCTGTATACAATAGACCCTTGTGATCCGGTCCTTCTCCGAACCCCGCGCATAGCGGGAGCTTAGTGAACCGAGCTGCCGTTTGTTCCTAAGGCAGTTACAATTGTGAAACAGTGAACTTCACTTGTTGATACGTTGCAACTTGTAGTTTGTGTCCACATTCTTGCTAAGATGGTTTTGGATGTGGAATTTGTTGTTTTTCAAGGCTAGTTTATGTGATGGAGGATTAGGTCAGGATAATAGGGAACATGGTAAAAAGTATTATAGTTTATTTTGAATGGTTATTTGACTGATGATGCCAGGAAATGATGCTTTTGCTTTGATTTCTATGTTCTCCTTTCGCTAGTTAGGTCAATTATATTGATTTCATTGCTGGTAATACGTCTTTCTAATGGCTTGTTAGTTATTAGTTAAACAACAAGGAAAGAAGGATCACTGTGGTTAGGTTCTTTAAAGATGATTCAGTTAAAACTTCTCTTTGTCTCTGTTTGAGACAGCAGTATGTGATTTTCTAGCTTTATTCTCATTGTTACAGCCTTTTGCACCAACTTTTGTTTTGAAATTACTAATGGTCTAAAGCATTCTTTAAGATTTACCTTTGTACTACACAACTTATATTTCAGCTTCCAAAACAAGCTCCTCAATCAGTTCATGGGGCTGGAAGAATCCGATGCATTTCTTCTATGCTTGTTTTGTCCATTATCAGTTGTCTGTTGTGGATATGCTCACTTATAATCATAGGGTTCTATGTGTTTTATTCATCTCTTTAGAATACAATAAACGCCTTCCATAAACGCCTTTGAAGTGCGTTGCTCAATACTGGTGAAAAGATAACCATGCAATTTAATTTTTCTCTCTTTCTTGAATATAGATGTAAGATTATTGGTTCATTGGTGACTTAAAGTTAAATCTCTGATCGTTTGCTGTGTACTCTTTGATATTTAAGTTTTGGCCATTATCTCAAAGTGCAGTGCTAATTGAGCTAAACTTTCTTATATGGATTCAGAGTTTTGCCTTCCATTTTCCTAATTTCTTTAGAATTGACTCTTTTAGATTGCATAAAATCCTTGATAAGTAAGCCAAAATGGTAGTGCTGCATTGGCCTGATAATGGTGTGACATAATGGCCGAGTCTATATAGAAATCTTTCTATCTCGTAGTGATGTGGCATGGATGATATTTTGTTTTATATACGTTTTGGGCTTGAGGTGCTGGCTTAACTTTCTAGAATTTATGTGGTGGGAATCTAAGTTGCGCGGACTCTTCGATTTTGGTGCCGTTCCCGTCCGGATACGGGGACGGGATACGTGCCAGATACGGTCAACTGACTTCGGACATTTTGACCGGAGTCCATCGACAAATTTGGGAGAAAAATTGAGATTTTGATTTCTCAAAATCAAAAATAAAACAAATTTAGAACAATGAAAGAATAATGTCCATCATGGAGAATGAAAGATTGAATTGTACAATATTCATGTAAGTTTTTCACAGAATATCTCTCAAAATTTACAATATTTTTGTAGCTCTATTTTTTATTAGCCGAATCCCCGCACCCGTATCCATATCCGGATCCACACCCCCGAGTCTTAAAATTTAGATTTTGCCGAATCCGATACTCGAATCCGTCCCCGTATCGGATACCCGCACCCGAGTCCGAGCAACTTAGGTGGGAATATGTTCATATCAAGGGTCACTGCTGGTTTTTGGTACATGCAGTTCGAAATAAGTTGATTTTTGTTTCTCAATACCTTGTTTTCCTATGAGAATGTTATGATGTGGATCAGCTTTAGCCTTTAGGTAGCTGGGTGGGAAGAGTACTTGCATTCTCTCTAATTCTTTCCCAACTTCCTCTGTTTAAGCATCATAATCTTTTGTGCGTTGTGTTTTTTTTTCAGGTTGAAAAGAGAAGGTTATTTCATATCTTTTTGAAACAATTCCTAATTGTGTATCGTGATTGGGAACCAATTAACCCTCTTCAATCTCCCGAGGATCCCGCCTTTGTGCAGCCCGTAGATTCACAGCATTTTGGAGATGTTGTGGTTGGCTGCTCATTTGGTCATCCTACTGAAATTATAGCCCTCCTCGTTGAGGAAGTTGCACAAATGATAGCACTTGTTAATGAACGTAAGTTGGTTCTTCACCCTTTGGTATGGTTAAAAGAAAGTTGGGTTGGTGAAAAGTGCATTTTTCTAAATCTAACTTTATTGAGAATTGCTTTGCTTTTTGTTTTGGGTAGGGGTAAGGTCTGCATACACACTACCCTCCCCAGACCCCAATTGTGGGATTCAATTGGGTTGTTGTTGCTTTGCTTTTTGTTTTGATTGAGCAAGTAATAAGATTTTATTAAGAATGGGGAAAAAACACCCGTATACGAGAAGTATACCAAAAAGTAGTAAACCTTAAAAAGATACGATTCTCTATAAATGACACCCAATCTTCTATGCCTACGGGGATCTCGTGGGTGCACCAAAAGGAAATAAGGAATAAGAGGCTATTCCTCAAGTGTACAAAGTCCTTCTCAATTCCATCAAAAGCTCTTCTATAACTCTTTTCATACGGTCCACATTGTTCTATTCCTAAAGTTCTCTTGTTTGCTAATTTGTATCGTGATTGCGGTATAAGAAAGATTCTGATAAAAGTGCAGGTACATGTTTCCGACATTAGATATTTTAATACTACATCATGAAGTATTTGTTTGTTTCTACTGATGATAATTCAGTAATGCCATAACAATGTGATGAATTGCAGACCTATCAAGAAATTCGTCTACAATAACATCTGAAGGGCTGCCTGTCTTGGATGCTTTGACTGTTATTACTCGGTCAGTGCACAATTGCAGAGTTCTTGGCTACTATGGTGGTATTCAGAAGCTTACAGCATTAATGAAGGGTATATTTCCATCAAGCAATGCTGAACTCATTCTTTCATGTGTTTTGGGTGATTTACTTCTAAGCCTGCCTCTATATGTGCGAATTTATCTGTTTGTTGCATTCTGTCTGTACAGATTGGTGAAACATATTGGTCTTACTTATGCTGATGTCATGTCTTTTATGCTCTGTCTTTCAATTTGAATATTCTTCCTCCATTAATTGGGAATATAGTTTACTTCTTGCTATTAACATTTCTTTAGTACCTAGTCAATCTTTTTTTGCTCAGACTGCAATTTTTATGGGAATTGGGGAAAAAGTCCACGAAGAGCATAAAGTGGCTATGTTGTTGACTTGTTAGTGATATTCCTGTTAGTGTCTGGTGTTCCGCAACTGTTCTTCCATTAAATGGTAATAAAGCTCACCAGTGTTATCAAAGGCGAAAAGCGCAAAAAAGCTCTAAGGTCCATTGGGATTTTAAGCGCAAAGCGCAAATAAAGCGTGGGCTTTAATGAAAAAAAGCGCAACGGAAGAAAAAGTAAAAAATATGCATGTAGTCCAAGACTAATCATTATAAGCATGAATAACAAATATATGAACAATGAAATTGAAAAAAAATTCACAATAAAGTGAAATATCAATTGTTTAAGGACGCATGTTCAGGATTACACTCATTGGCAAGGAAAAGTATGACTTAGAGCTTTGATGCGACACTAAAGCGCCCACAAAGCAAGGCGAAGCGGTCAACGTATTTTGAGCCTCGCTTCAGGGCATAAGCGCGCCTGTGACAACACTGAAGCTCACTTGGCTAGTAGTTTTTCTGGCTCAGATTGTAGTCTGTGGGGATTTTGATATGCAAAAAGAATAGAGTGGAAGAGAATAGAGCACAAGTATGAAGGAAGCTTGGCGTGATTTGAAAAGAAAAAAAGAAAAAAAGAAAAAAAGAAAAAGACTATCAGGGGCTTCAAGTATAAGAGAGGCAAATATAGGATAATTGATGCTTCTGGGAGAGATTGGGACCTCTATGTTTTGTTTTCACTGTCGTAGGTGCATTTAGTAAGAGATGGAAGGGTTTGGTCGTTTGTTGTTTCCATTTTATTATGTCTTGAGCATGATTGTCCTCTGTCCTTTGCATGCTTTAAGATCTTACATTGCTATAGAAGAAGTGCAGGCATCTTTTGAAGCAGGAAACTTGAATGAATTTGATACCTTCTTAATATACCGTATTTCATATTCTGCACCATCTGTTATATTTTCTTAGTCAGTTTTAGGATCACTCTTGAGACTAGTTACTTAGTTGCTCATTCCTGAAATACATTTGACTTTTATACTTGCAATGTGTCGTTATCCAGTTAGATGTTCCCTGTCCGAATATATAGTTATCTAGCACATTTAATAATGAGGTTTATTTATTTCAGCTGCTGTTGTTCAACTGAAGGCTATTGCTAGTGCTCTTTCGGCCGACGAAGCTTTGTCAAACCCTGTTGCAGAGAAGACAACAATTCTCCAAAACATTCTTTTATATGTGGTGTTTGTAATTGGTAGCTTTATTAACTTGCATTTCAGCAAATCCGAAAAGGCTTGGTTGAATTGGGGTTACATGGAGATTTTTGGGCCTAGAAGTGTTGAAATACGAGATGTCGTTACTGGTGTAGATGCGTCTGATTCTGAAACAATGATAATGTGGCGTCAAAAGGCAATTGTCTCTGTAATGGAAGCTGGTGGTCTCAACTGGTTATTAGGTAAGGTAGGCAGTCCCAATTTTCTTTTCTAGCACTGAACCTCTTTAAATGTGTAGTTATTTTGATACGGAGGATATAATGGTCCTAGATTCTTTCAGAATCACATTTTCCATAGCACACTGTATGATGAGGGCACTAACAACAACAACAACAACCCAGTATAATCCCACTAGTGGGGTTTGGGGAGGGTAGTGTGTACGCAGACCTTACCCCTACCCTGGGGTAGAGAGGTTGTTTCCGATAGACCCTCGGCTCCCTCCCTCCAAGAACTTCCCCACCTTGCTCTTGGAGTGACTCGAACTCACAACCTCTTGGTTGGAAGTGGAGGGTGCTAACCAATAGGGCACTAAAAGAATTGTTATTTAACATGTGTCTTGACATTTCTTTTGTTTATTCTGACCTTAAGTAACTCACTTAACTAGATATACCAAAAAGAAGCAATACTTTAACCCAGTATTATCAAAGGCGCGCTTAAAGCGCGCTTAAGCGCTGAAGCGAGGCTCAAAACATGTTGAGCGCTTTGCCTCTCTTAGTGGGCGCTTCAATGTTGTCATCAAGGGTCTAAGGCATACTTTTCCTTGCCAATGAGCGTAATCCTGAAGAGGTGACACTAAACAATTGATATTTCACTTTTTTATAAATTTTCTTCAATTTCTTTGTCCATATATTTGGTATTCATGCTTATAGATATTAGTCTTGGACTACACATACATATTTGTAGTTTTTCTCCATTTTGCGCCTTTCTTCCTTAAAGCCCCAACAGACCTTTAAGTTTTTTTGTGCTTTTCGCTTTTGATAATACTGGTTTAACCTGGTAGAAATGCAGCCAGTTAAAAAACTGTAGTATTGCCTGATAAAAATTTCTCACACATAATACTTACTAGCTTTCTGGCTTCTAGTTTCTACCTCTCAGCTACAAACAACAACAACAACAACATACTCAGTGTAGTCCCACAAGTGGCGTCCGGGGAGGGTAGTGTGTATACAGCCTACCTTGTGAAGGTAGAGAGGCTGTTTCTGGTAAACCCTCGGCTCAAGAAAAGCATAGTCACAGCAGTTTAGAAAATGAATTATCAAAATCATCTGTTTCACATAATCATCTTTCCATGGATTGTCAAAATCTTCTATTTCAAATCAGTTGTCACTTAGCACCAGGTACGGAAGATAGTTGATGTTAAAGCCTCTTCTTTGGACAATTTCTTTTCAAATTTGGATGTGCTAAAAGTACCAACTATTTAGTGATAGAGAATGAAAGTTGGAGATATTTATGTCAAACTTCCATGATTCCTTGGCCGACTATTGAAATCTATGTAGAACTGCTCTGTTTTGTGGATCAGAGTTCAGCTGTTATCCACATATTAGCATGGCTACTCTGCACCGCCCCGCCATCGCACCTATTAATTTTCAGCAAAACCAGCGATAGCGAGCCTTGTCCG